ATCTTTGTTTTTCCTTCGCCAACAATCTTCTGCTATCGTGGGGTCTGCCTCCATTAAGGCAGAACAGAACCGGAAGGTGCACATTTTAATTAGTTAGCTTACATCAGCGGTTACCAATGTGGCACAATTCCTGCCATCCTGTCTTGCCTTTCTGTTTGAGGAATTGATCTAGCCCCAATGTCCAGCAACTCTGAGTTGTCTATTGAAATCAGAAGTATAGTCTGAAAAGCCATTACCGGTAATTGGTTTTACTCATCAACCAGAAGTAATCACACTTCCCTCCAGGGGGAAACACAAGATTCAGGAACCTTTTGAACAGAGGAGAGAGAACCACACTTTCTGGGGAATAAATTCCACTCAGTTTTTGCAGCTTGATCTGGTGCAGTCCACCTGCCATGGATCTCTCTACCAGTGCTGTGGTCTTCTTGTTCCTCACCTACCACCTCTGTGAGGCAGTGCATCGAAAGTATAATTCAGTCCTCATTGTGGCCCATGGTGGGGAGTGGGGAGAATGGGGGAAAATTGAATCCTGTCCCAAAGGACATGCATACGGATTCTCACTGAAAGTAAAGGCTTATCTATATCTTCTTTTTGATACTCCGATCCCAAGGAATAGTCACAATAATGTAATATATATATATTTTAAGTTGCTTTCCATCTTTCTTTCTGAACCCATTGCCTGTATATTGCTGCCTGCAAGGTGCTTTGAAGTGTTGACTGCCATGCTTAAAGATTTAATAGCTCTAAAAAGTCTCCCAGCCACTTTGTCAATCCACACTGGAGAGGCTTAGAGTGAATTGCATTTTACATAAAAGAAAACTGGATGGACTGGAGGAAAAAAGGGACAAGGATACAGAAAAGTTTGGAGTGCAATGAGCTGGCAATATTGTGGTCAGTTTTATCTCCCTGAAAAGTGAGCGCCCAACTGGAAAATACAGACTAAACTGTTAGTGTGGAAGCAACCCAGGTCAGTTCTGGTGCTTTCTAGGAGGGTTGCCATAAATGTGGATTTTCCCTGACATGTCCAGGATTTCAACAACTTTCCTCCAAAAAGCTCAACAACTTTTTGTGTTTGGATTCTTACTTCTTGAAATAATATGGCAACCCTAACTTCATAAACTGGAGGAAACCCGCTGTAGCATATGAAGACATAAGAGAGGGATTGAGGGTGCCTTAGGCAGCCATTAGCAAGATCAATTTTTCCCTATCAAGTTTGCTTACTTGGGGCCCATTGGACTGGTTGCACCAAAAAGCTACTGTCTTTTGATGCAGCTCAGAATGTAAATCTCAACCCAGAACCAGTAATACTTGTACACAATTAAAGGTAAAGGTAAAGGTACCCCTGCCCATACGGGCCAGTCTTGACAGACTCTGGGGTTGTGCGCCCATCTCACTCAAGAGGCCGGGGGCCAGCGCTGTCCGCAGACACTTCCGGGTCACGTGGCCAGTGTGACAAAGCTGCAACTGGCGAGCCAGCACAGCACACGGAAACGCCGTTTACCTTCCCGCCAGTAAGCGGTCCCTATTTATCTACTTGCACCCGGGGGTGCTTTCGAACTGCTAGGTTGGCAGGCGCTGGGACCGAGCAACGGGAGCGCACCCCGCCGCGGGGATTCGAACCGCCGACCTTTCGATTGGCAAGCCCTAGGCGCTGAGGCTTTTACCCACAGCGCCACCCGCGTCCCTAACACAATTAGGGACATGTAATTATGAACAGATAACTGCTTATTCATGTTGCAAGCTACTACTTTGGAAAATTGAGACCAGTGCGAGTAGATAAACAGGTACCACTGTGGGAGGAAGGTAAACAGTGTTTCCGCAGGCTCTGGTATCCGTCATGGTATTCCATTGCACCAGAAGTGGTTGAGTCATGCTGGCCACATGACCCGGAAAGCTGTCTGTGGACAAACACTGGTTCCCTCAGCCTGAAAGCGAGATGAGCGCCACAACCCCATGGTCGCCTTTGACTGGACTTAACCATCCAGGGGTTATTTACCTTTTACCATTACCACTCCACTGCTCTCTAACCATAGTTTTGATTGCTGTGCTTCAGGACTCAGAAGAAAATAAAATAAGATATCCATTTGTCAACCCCTATATGACAGGAGCAGGGAAGCAATTTTGCACCAAGAGGTAGATTGGAATGTGGGCAATCTTCCATGGGTGGATGGGGCCAAAAGCAGAATAAAAATCCAAAAAAAAAATCCAAATCCATTAGAATGGCAGTGCCCATCAACTTGGGGGGGAGTGACCCCCTCAAATAGCTTATGTGGGAGGCGAATGGACCTTGGCTCCTAGGAGTTAGCTGCTATGCGTGGTGCTCAGATTCCTTCAAATTCTCAAATCTTACCGTCTGGTGCTTAGATCAGACATAAGAGATCTCTGTGCCTAAGATGGCTGGTGATTGGCAAGTGGGTGCGATTTGTTCAAAGCAACCTCATGGTTGGATCCCACAGATGGCACCAGCAGTGCAGCGCTTGCTCCACTGGCCATAAGTACCAAAGGTGGGGGACTCGCCCTCCAGTATAACACCATCTCCACAGCTGAACTGGATGTTGTTGGCTGCTGTATCATCAGCTGGCCCTTGTGGGGATTCCAGATTCAGAGCGAAGGCAACCAGGTAGCCCTTGGGGCATTCCCTCTGTTTTTTGGTCCCTCTGAGTATTCGTGTTCCTGCCTCCACATCTGTTAAGGTTAAAAAGACAGCACTGCTCATTTTGCCCTCATATCTTCCTACCTCCAGTTGAGAATGTCCATGACCCTCCCTTAAAAAAAATTTCCTGAACAAATTTGTGCACATAAGTTATTTAGGAATAGTGAGAATAATAATAGAATCAGGATGTAGGGCTCAAGCCCATGACCCTGAGATTAAGAGTCTCATGCTACCCTCTAAACCAGGCATGTACAACATGTCAATCATGAGACTCCCAGGGTTGTTTGTGGTCAGTCGCAGGGCCTTTCTCTGCAACATCAGATGCAGAAGTGCAGGCGCAGGAGGCGGGCTTAGCATGGTTTTCCCGTTGGGGAAGGGGGTGCCTGCTGGAGACAGAGGGAGGCACGAGGAGGAGCCACGTGGGAAGGCTCCCTTTGACATGGAGGGAAGGAGGAAGGGGGAGGGCAGGTGCTATCGGGATCCACATCAGCTGCGTGGCTCCTGTTGACAAGGGGGAAGAGAGATCACACGCCGGTTTGGGGGTGAGGGTATGTTATGTACTAAGCTTGGATCCTAGAACAATAGGCAGGTAGGATCGTAGAATGCAACAACTGATTGGCTTGCAGGAGAAGACCCATCAGGCTCCAGGAGGGAAGCAGAATCAGCCAATCAGACGGGACTCATTGTGTAAATAACGTATATAAAGGCCCAAGGGTTTTTTTTTGGGGGGGGATTCAATCACTGTTTTACAAGCAGCAATAAAGAGCACAAAATCACTGCAGGACTCCAAGTATATTTCAGGGTAGGAGAAGTTTCGCACAGGACAGCTCCGCAGCCCAACTAGTTTGGGGGGGGGAGAGAGAGAGCTGCTGGGGGAGGGAGGGAGAGTAGCTCTGGTGTAGACAGAACTAAGCTAGCTAACCAATGGCCTGACTTAGAATAAGGCAATTTCCTGTGTTCCTGATGTTGGAGGCACATAGTCCAAGCGGAATACATTTTTTTTGTTGTTGGCAAAAAATGGCTATTATAAAGAGCTCTGCAGAAGAAATATATATACTCCCTCTGTGTTCTCTATCCCTCTCCCACCAACACCAGACTTTAGTAAGAATACTGGTGCCTGCAGAAGATCACTGGTTTTCCCCACTGTGCCCTGCAAAACTGTGGGAAAGAGGACTGGTTCATCTCTCAGGAGCAGTTTCCAACTGTTTTTCAAACTGGTGCTCTGGTGTGGAATTAATAATGCTGTGAGTTTGCTACCATAAGTTCCAAGATGCTTAAGGATGGGTTGGCTACAGGGTACCTCTTCCCTGTTGAGTTGGTGGGAAGGTGATTGGCTCTGCTAAGAGCCTAAGGCATTAGGCAGAGACAGAAGTAAGGAAAACTCACCCACCTTCAGTTAGGCACAAGTCTTAGGCTTATGCAAACATTACACTGGGCAGAGGTGCATCCTTTCTCTACACTTATACTAGTGCTTGTGTGAAAGAGTGTACACTGATTGATTTGTGCACCTCAGCTACAGTGCACACAGGTACACAGAATTACACTTACAGGAATGCACTGAGGGGACACCCCTTGAGGTGAAAAACAAGAGCAGGCTGGAGCAAGAAAGACAAATGTAGCGGAAGTACCTTCCTTCCTTCCTTCCTTCCTTCCTTCCTTCCTTCCTTCCTTCCTTCCTCTTGCTAGTATGAGTATCTGCCAAATAAATTGTGATGATGGCAGGTAGCTGAGTGGAGTCTCCTGTCAATTCCATTTAAATGTTACACCTGTCTTAACCCAAACCATTTTACTTTATTGAGCTATTTGGGGCTGATAGGAAGTATGTGTTTGTTTCAAGTTAAATGACAATTTGTGTTCCCATCCCTAGGTGTGGCACGTTCTCCCTTCTGTCTTACACCTGAGACTCTGTGTGTGTGTGTGTGTGTGTGTGTGTGTGTGTGTGTGAGAGAGAGAGAGAGAGAGAGAGAGAGAAATCCCTTAAGAAAAAGAGAAACAGAAATTGGAGGGGGAGTTTTAATAGGAAGTCCAAATTGCCAAGACATAGGAAATACCACAACTTGGTTGTTGAACGCCTTGCGACTCGAACGTTTTGGCTCCTGAACGCCGCAAACCTGGAAGTGAGTGTTCTGGTTTGCAAATGTTCTTTGGAACCCAAACATCCGACGGGGCTTCCATGGCAAGAAGATCCTGCAGCCAATCAGAAGCTGTGTCTTGGTTTTTAATGTTTTTGGAAGTTGAATGGGCTTTCGGAACGGATTCTGTTCAAGAACCAAGGTACGGCTTGGCAAGGGTGAAGGGTGGGTAAGAAATTCACGTTTTAGTTAGATATCAAAAGGTGTAGTCTGAAAAGCCATCAACTGATTTTACTACATCAACCAAAAGTAACCACACTTCCCTCCAGAGGAAAATTTGGGACCAGAGGAATGAGCCACTATTCCTAAGGAATAAATTCTTAAGGCTGTTATTCATCCATTTAGTTTTTGCAGCTAGATCTGGTGCAGATCACTTTCCATGGAGCTCCCTTTCAGCGCTGTGGTCTTCCTCTTCTTCTCCTACAATCTCTGTGATGCAGAAGACCGAAAACATAATGCAGTCCTCACTGTGTCCAATGGAGGGAACGATGGTATATGGGGAAAACCTGAATTCTGTCCCACGGGATATGCAAATGGATTCCAAATGAAGGTAAATGCCTATCTATAGTCTGAATTTTGACACCCTGATGCTAGGGCGTGGTCACAATATTATACAGACATATGAAAAGCACAAACAAACAAACACCTTTATTTAGAAAGAAGGGCAGGGAAAGCAGCAGACAGAATGAAAAATGCAGCCTCTATCACAGAACCCACGCAGGGTCCCAGAAACACCAAGATGCCAAGTCTGTAGCATCTAATATACAATTCAGTTTACTAATTACTGAATCCCAGGCATGCCAACAGGATTTTCTGTCCCCAACACACAGTATATGGCCTGGGTCCTCATGTTAGGTTTCCGTGTGTTGCCACTGTGCAGTGCTTGGAGTCACAGGACTCTGTTTACATTCCAGAGATTCAAGGCTATTGGAAGTCTCACAGAAGATGGGAGACAGATGTGATGTTACTGGTTTCGTGTTCCTTTGTTTTCCAGTTGCTCTCTGCTTTCACAGAGAGAGGATGTATGCTTTTCTGTCTGTGTAACTAGAAATCAAACTCTTTGCAATGTAGCTCATATTTCTCGTCCTTCCCTGCTGCTGGATACTCTGCATAATGAGGGAACGTGCCTGGAGCTTATCAGAGGCTCAGGTCGTTAATCATCGTCGGAGGCGATTCCTAAGGACTCGACTGGAGGATGAGCTTTTCCAGTTCAGTCGTAACAGAGGCTCCGACACCTCTGAGGAGAGCTTTTCATTAAATTTGCATATGCTTTGTGTAGTATGCAAATATTGTCCTCTTTTGAGGGTGGAGTAGAGTGCCCCAAAATAAAACAGTGACCACAAATATAATAAAACGTCTCACAGACAGAATACAAACAGGTAAAGCTTTTTCCCATCATTGTATTTCCATACTAGAGAAGGCATAACCTGCTGAATTTCTGCCTCTGACACAGCTGGGAAAGGCACAAAACCCCTACTTTCCCTCAAGGCCAACCCTAAACCAAAGCAAGGACCGCAATATTGTACCCATGTATTTGGGAGTAAGCCCCATTAAACAAAGAAAGACTTCTGAATAGACATATTAAGTTAATTATACAGTGAATTCTTCAGACTTGCCTAAGCCTCCTTGCAAAGTACAGTTGCTGTGTGTGTGGAGGGGATGATTTCACACCCGCTCACAATTATCCTGCAGTAGGAACTGCAGAAAATAACTTCCAGGTAGTACCCGATTTCAGATGAGCCAACCACAAGAAAGACGCATCCTGGTCGTTGGGAAGAAAGGAAGGGCAAACTGTGGAGATTCCAAGAACCAGAAAAAGAGGCAGAAGCAGGAGAGGAAAAGAACAGCTCTAGACCTCCAGAGAATCTTCTCACCTGGCACCCAAACAGCTCATGCAACAATGACAACTTTGAGTTGTTAAAGGAGGGGAATGGGTAGGTAGAAGGGACCACATCTCAGTGGCAGAATATATGCTTTTCATATGGAAGGTCTCCGGTTAAAACCTAATGATTTCCATATTACAAGTCTGGGAAAGAGTTTGCTTTGGGATCCTGTTGAGCTATTCCTGGTCAGAGTAGACAGAAATGGCCTAGAAGGCCAAATGGTCTGACATACTAAAACTAGGGGACGGATTTTCTCCTTTCTCTTAAATAATAAAGAGACGTAAGAACAGGCCTGTGTGGGTTTCATTCTGAGAGCTGTTACATTTCTCATAATGTTTGCTCATCTGGATTGCATAGAACTGGATGCAGGTTGTCTATGCCAGCAATTAGCAGGGACAGATCTAGGGGAGCGTGGCTGGTTTGGTCGCCCTGGGTGCAGAGTTCTGGGGTGCCTCAGAGTGTGCCACAACTATTATTTAGAATGGAAGTCAGGAAGTGGAGGGGTGCCAAATTTTGGCAATGTACAGGGTGCTACTGAAATTTGAGACCCCAAGGTCTGCCACTGCTGAATAGAAAGGCTGATTCCCCACCCACATTTGTTCATCTCCATCCTACTTTTGTTCTTTGAGGTGAATGTAAATCCTCATCTATGTCCAGTACCTGCGGGCAATTGTGTGCACATGACTTGAGCTAGTACTGCTCATTGCTGATCTAGCTAGGTCATTGCAAGCCCTTGCACATAGAAATTTGCACTGATTTTTTTTGTTTTGCTCACAAATAAATGTTGCCAGTACTGCAGATGCAGATTGAAGCACCAGTCTCTCTCTCTCTCTCCCCCCCCCCGTTCTCCACCAGTTTCGCAGAGATGTAAATGAAGCCTATAGAAAAGATTTCACTCTGAAGGGCATCCGTCTCCACTGCACTGATGGGAAAACAGTAGAGTCTAAAAGTGGAGAGTGAGTAGCTTTTTGAATTTCTCTTCCTTTATTAACTTGTTGCTTGGAAGTTTGGGGTAGGAGCGGGAGGGGTAGATTGAAATATTTCATGCTAGATTAAAGGCAAATGGTAATCTGGACACGGTCTGAGTTTAACAGCCCCAAAATATACATGCTTGCACAAAGTCCTGTGAAACTTACTTCTACGGATGGAGGCAAAATTCAAATTGGTTCACATTTGAAGGCGAATCTGTTCTATACATCCTTTCTGAAATAAAGCTTTTTGCTCTAATTTGGAATTATATCTCTGGAGAGACTTTAAAAATAAAAATACATTGACAAAGTTGTGGTATATAAATTTCTATTTTTTTAAATTGAATTTAATTCATTATAAAACAAAGACAACATATAAAACATAAATACACAAAGAAAAAATACATAAGACAAACTTAGAAATAATAATAAGGAAGAGAAAAAAGAAAAAAGAGAGAGAAAAAAATCACCTGACATAAAACATCAACAAATTACCTTACATTAACTCACACAACACTAAATTGACTTCCCTTCATCTCGGTTTCGGAATGTGTTAAAAATTTCTCTTTCTGCAGTTTCTTTTCCTCACAAAACTCTTTGCATCACAAGCGTTATGTCTCACCTACTGTGATTTTTAATTTTTTTACCTCTGTTTCCATGTATACCAAAAATTTATTCCATTTGTTATTAAACTTTATGCCTTTTTGGTTTCTTATTTTCTGTGTCATTTTTGCCAATTCTAAATAGTCAAATAGTTTGGTTTGCCACTCATTTATACAGTGGTACCCCGCAAGACGAACGCCTCGCAAGACGGAAAACCCGCTAGACGAAAGGGTTTTCCGTTTTGGAGGCGCTTCGCAAAATCTCCGGGACAGCGGGGAAGCGCAGCGTGTCTTCCCCACTGTCCTCGGACCTCCTCCTGCCCGGCATCGGAACGAAGCTCCGATGGCGGGCGGCGGGGCGGGAACGCGTTCTCCCGCCGCCCGGCATCGGAACGAAGCTCCGATGCCGGGCGGGGGGCGGGGACACCTTCTCCCGCCGCCCGCCATCGGAACGAAGCTCCGATGCCGGGCGGCGGGGGGGGGGACACCTTCTCCCGCCGCCCGCCATCGGAACGAAGCTCCGATGCCGGGCGGGGGGGGGCGGGGACACCTTCTCCTGCCGCCCGCCATCGGAACGAAGCTCCGATGCCGGGCGGGGGGGGCGGGGACACCTTCTCCCGCCGCCCCGGCTTTGCATGGCTTTCCTGAAGACTTGGGGTGGGAGGATGGTTTGCCTTCCCACCGCCAACATTCAGAATGCTGTTCTGAATGTTGGCGGTGGGGAGGAAAAACCCTCCTCCCACGCAAGCCCCGGGAACAGAGGGAAAGCACTGCGCGCCTTCCCCTCTGTTCCGGTACCTGTCCTGAAGGCTTGCGGTGGGGAGAAAAGCCCTTCTCCGCACCGCCAGCCTGGCAAGCGGTTTCCCTAGGAACGCATTCATTGATTTTCAATGCATTCCTATGGGAAACCGTGCTTCGCAAGACGAAAAACTCGCAAGAAGAAAAAGCTTGCGGAACGAATTAATTTCGTCTTGCGAGGCACCACTGTAGTTGGGATTTTTGATGTCTTCCAATTATGCGCTATTAAAGTTCTGGCAGCCACTGTTGCATACTGAAAAAGTGTTTGATCTTCCTTTTTGATTTCCTCTCCAATTATCCCCAGCAGAAAGGCCTCTGGTTTTTTTATGAAAGTGTATTTAAGGATTTTTTTTAGTTCATTATAAATAGATTCCCAGAATTTTTTGATTACCTCACACGACCACCACATGTGATAAGAAAACGCCAGGATACATTGTCAAAAGCCTTTTCGGCGTCAATGAACATTAAAACTGCGGGAATTTCATTTTTGGATTCCAAGTATTCAATAATGTTTATTGTGTGTCTTATGTTGCCTTTAATTTGCCTATTTGGTAGAAAACCAGCCTGATCAGTATGGATGAGATTGACTAAACACTTTTTAGTCAGCTCGCCATTACATCTGTGAAAATCTTGTAATCGTTATTCAATAATGAAATCGGTCTATAGTTCTTAATATTAAGTCTGTCCGAATCCGGTTTTGGTATCAGCGTGATGTATGCCTCTTTCCAGGACGCTACTATTCTTCCTCCTCCTAAAATCTCATTCATTACTTCACATAACACCGGTGTTATAAGTTCTTCCAGGACTTTATAGTACTTGGCCGATAAACCATCTGGGCCTGGGGCTTCCCCCAATTTCATCCTCTTTATCGCCTCTTGAATTTCCTCTGCTTTTATGGGTTTATTTAATGCACTTCTTTCCTCTTCCGATATGTTGTTAATTCTATTTTCTTCTAGATATTTTCCTATTTCTATTACATCTTCTTCTTCTCTTTTATATAGGTTTTCATAAAATTTAAGGAAGCTCTTTTTTATTTCACAAGGATCCTCCAAGACTTGTTCTTCTACTTTTATTTTGTTGTTGACACTTAGTTTTCTTCTTTTTCTCAGTTGCTACGCCAGAAACTTTCCAGTTTTGTTTGCCGATTCAAAAAGTTTTTGTTTCATTAATTTAATTCCCCATTCCACCTCTTGGTTTATTAATATTGAGTATTGTGTTTGCAACATCTTATGCAGTTGCTTGTTCCCATCATCATTTGGTTTTTCTATCAAGATCTTTTCACATTCTCTTAATTGGTTAATTAATTCTTCTTTTTTTTGTTCTCTCACCTTTTTTCTTTGACTGTTTTGTTGTATCAAAAAACCTCTTAACACTGCCTTACTGGCATCCCAAACTATATCCATATTTGTCTCCTTATTGATATTTAAGTCAAAATATTCTTTTAAGGTGGTTTTAGCGTTTTCAATCACTTCTTCTTTTTCAAATAAATAATCGTTCATTCTCCATTTATACATACCCTGGGTCTTCCCATTTAGATGTAACATTATAGGTCTGTGATCAGATAATTTTCTAGGTTGTATCTCACATTTCGACACTCTTATTGTTAATTCTCTTAATATCCATATCTGATCCAGCCTACTCCAAATCCGATGTGGCTCCGAAAAGTGAGTGAACTGTTTTGTCATAGGATTTTTGTGTCTCCATATATCTATTAAGTCTAGGTTTTCCTCTAGGTCATTAAACAATCTCAGAAGTTTCCCTTGATTTTAATTCTTCTTTATATCTCTGGAGTTATATCTCTGGAGAGACTTTAAAAATAAAAATACATTGACAAAGTTGTGGTATATAAATTTCTATTTAGACATTGCCATCCTTGTCCTTTTCTTTACAGGCTCGGGGAATGGGTTGCGGTTCAGAAATGCCCCCAAGGCAACATGGTGTCCTTTTCTTTGACTATTGAAATACCACAACTGCTAATTCCTCATGCAGTCACTAACCTTGAGGTCCTCTGCAGTGGTGGGGCTAAAGTGAAGAAAGATATCTTTGAACGGATGGAAGAGGGCAAAATGAGCAAGCGCTGCCCTAGGGGCTTCATATGTGGCATCCAAACAAGGGTGGGGAATGAGCATGAAGTGCTTGTTAAAGTAGAACTTCGTGACGTGAAGATGTTCTGTTGTGACTGATCCACCACCCTGCTGCACAGCCCTCTTCCACTGGCAACAGAGGATGACAGGGTGGAGTGGTGGTGCTTACCTGGCCTCCTGACAGCTGAACTGCTGCTGCTTGCTGGAAGGGAGAGAGGCAAGTCATTGGGGAGCTTGGTGTGGTGCAAACACACTGGCAGAGCCAATCCAGTACTCCCGCTGGTGTGTTTGCACTGTGCCGACTGCTTCTCTTTCTGTCCTTCCTTGTAAGCAGCAGTGACTCATCTGTTGGAGGGGTCACCGATTCCCCACCCCCTGAATGAGATAAAGGGATTGTATTTAGACAGAATATAGCATGATTTTGGAAATATCTGGGGTCTCTTTCAACTTTCAAGTATATTTAGGCTGCTTAAAAAATAATAATCAAGCTTGCTTATAATGTAGTAGTCATGCACCAGATCATAAAAACCAGCTAAGTGATTCTCTTGTTTCAATTAAATCTTAAAATATTATACACGCTAATCCTCATGTTATGTTGGGGGGAAATGTTTGGTTCATTCTCTGTATCATTTGAGATACATTTGTTATAGTTCACTCTTTTGTTGTTACAGTAAAACTCATTGAAAATATTAATAAAAAAGACATTCACCAGACAAATATATTGAACGCCGGAATGACGTTCATTTATGAATCACCGGAATACTAAATTTTCTGACAGCATAGACTATATATGTTATTTTCTCTTACTGAATTCCTTTTGATTATTTCTCTCATACGCAAGTACAGGAGAGACATCTTTCTATAATATCCTTGATTGCCTGTTCTGTTCTTTCACCAATAAAAATGAAATGAAATGAAGAGTAAGTGTGTCCCTTTTTATCAGCTGTGAGATGAGCAGGAAGAGGAGATACAGGCAGCACATGTGTCAGAGTGTGTGCGAGGAAACTAGGGGTGACAAGGTGAAACATTCACCTCTTGTGGTCGTGGCAGACAGAAGTGGGTTAGGAGGAGCTGTTTCCCATAGTGCTCAGCCCTAGGAAGATGCAGAGGTCACCTGGCTAAGAGGAGGAAAAGGCCTCAGAATGCAGAAAGCCGGAAGTGTGCACAACTGCTTCCTAAAGTGAAATGAAGAGGTGGGGGAAGAGATGTTGCCAAAAGAGAACTGGGATATGGCGATGCCCTCCCTGAAATGCATTAATGGCTCGTTGTAAGTCACTTTGTGTTGTTCTGGGCAAACACATTCAATTAATTAAAAAATAAATCTCAATAGAAGCAGCCCCCGCACTCCAGCTTTAAAAAGCAACAGTTTCAATAACACAAAATAAAGATGAATATACAACATCACAAAAAATATACACAGCACACATCTAAAACCCTGTGAATTCAAAGGTTCAGTTTTAAAACTTCGGACAGTAAACATCACAAAGATGCCACCAGGTGGGCCTTTCCAGGGAAGGCATTTCATAACCAGGCTGACACCACCTATAAGACCCTGAATCCAGGAGCACTGGAAGAGAGCCTCTGATGATGATATCGGGGTCCAGGTAACTAGACCTGGGAGGAGGTGATCCTTGAGGTAAGATGCTCCCAGGTAATTTAAGGAATTTAATGGTCAAGAACAGTGCCTTGAACTGGAACCAGAAATGACTGGAAGCCAGAGTAGACAATAAATCACTAGTGCAATATAGTGAAATTTTCCAGAAGCCCTTTAAGAGCCTTGATACCCCATGCAGAACTTTCTGTACTCTTTTCAAAGTCACCCCACCTATAACTCACTGCAGTTAATCTAGCAGGAAGATCATGGATAATGGACACAAGACTACCTCCAGCCCTGAAATGTTTAAAGAAGATAAAAAGAAAAATGGATTTGAATATACAAAATCAAGATTTGAATTACAGTTGTTAAGTAATAAGGTTAAAATATTATCAAAAATGTATAAATTACTTTTGGAATGGCATGTCAAGGACGAAGAGGTTAAATCAGTTATGATACACTGGGGTAAAGATATAGGCCATAATATACAGTTTGAGGATTGGGAAAAATTATGGAAGGAAGGAATAAACTTTACAGCTTGCTGTTCACTTAAAGAAAATGTAATGAAAGTGATGTGTACATGGTACATTACACCAGTGAAGTTAGCAAAAATGTATTAAGTAAATAACCAATGTTGGAAAGGTAAAGGAAAAGAAGGTACTTTCTACCACATGTGGTGGACTTTTAAGGAGGTAAAGGCTTTCTGGGAGATGATATACAATGAAATTTAAAAAATGTTGAAATAAACATTTGTAAAAAAAACCCAGAAGCCTTCTTAATTGGTATTGTGGGTAGTGAAATACATAGACAAGAAACTGTTTTTATATGCAACAACCACAGCAAGAATATTATTAGCCCAAGGATGGAAGCAGCAAGAAAAAAACTCAGTCACAGGAAAAAAAACAAGTGAGGGAGCGACACCAGGGGACAGGAAGGGCTCAAGACAGGAGTCAGAACTTAAAGGGGATATATTGAAAATGTTTGCTGAAATTAAAAAGGATATAAAACAAAGTGAAAAAAATATAAAATCCAAATTAGAACAGGTGGATAAAAAAATAGGACAAATGGATAAAAAAATAGAAGTGACGGTGAATGAATTGAAGGGAGAAATAAAGGAGGTTACTAAAAGGACACAAAGCTTGGAAGAAGGGTTGAAAAGAACAAAGTTAGAAGTGTCTTTCTTGTAAGCAGACTCATCTCTTGGAAGGGTCACTGATTCTCCTCCCCCTGAATCAGGTAAGGCGATTGTATTTAGACAGAATATAGCATGATTTTGGAAATCTCTGGGGTCTCTTTCAATTTTCAACTGCTACAAGCATATGTGGACTGCTTTTTTTAAACAACAACAACAACAACAACAACACAAGCTTACTTATAATGAAGTAGACATGCACCAGATCATTAAAAAAGCTAAGTGATTCTCTTGTTTCAATTAAGTCTTAAAATATTACAGACGCTAACCCTCATGTTACGTTTGGGGAAAATGTTTGGTTAATGCTCTGTGTCATTTGATACTTTGTTACAGTTCACTTTTTTGTTGTTATATTAAAACTCAGTGAAAATATTATAAAAAAGACATTCACCAGACAAATTTATTGAAAGATGGAATGAAGTTCATTTGTGAATCATTGGAATACCAAATTTTGTGACAACATAAACTATATATGTTATTTTCTCTTACAGAATTCCTTTTGATTATTTCTCTCATACAGAAAAACACATGAGAGACATCTTTCTATAATACATTCGTTGACCACCTGTTCTGTTCTTTCACTGTTAAAAAAGAAATAAAATAAGCTGAAGCATATGTTTATCTCTTACACATTCTATGGAGTAAATATAGGTCTGTGGACTGTAACAAGTGTTTCTTGTAAAAATAAAATCTGTCTTGGGACTTGTCCTCATTTGAGCTGTAACTGACTAGGAATGCACGTTTTATCGCTTTGAATTTGCCCTCATTAGTCCACACGGTCTGGTATTTGGAGTTGACGACCCAGTCAGTGAATGTGTGTCTGTGTTGTCAACCATTTCCATTGTTTTTTGGTCCCTCTGAGTTTTTGTGTTCCTGCCTCCACAGGTTAAAAAGGCAGCACTGCTCTTTTTGCCCTCGTATCTTCCTACCTCCAGTTGAGAATGTCCATGACCCTCCCTTAAAAAAAAAAATACTGAACAAATTTGTGCACATAAGTTATTTAGGAATAGTGAAAATAATAATAGAATCATAGAGTAATAGAGTTGGAAAGAACTATGAGAGTCATCTAGTCCCACCCCCTGCAATGCATGATGTAGGGTTCAAACCCACAACCCTGAGATTAAGAGTCTCATGCTACCCTCTAAGCCAGGCATGTAACAACATGTCAATCATGAGACTCCCAGTCAACCGTGGGGTTGTTTGTGGTCAGTCGCAGGGCCTTTCTCTGCAACATCAGATGCAGAAGTGCAGGCGCAGGAGGCGGGCTTAGCGTGGTTTTCCCAATGGGGAAGGGGGTGGCTGCTGGAGACAGAGGGAGGCACGAGGAGGAGCCACGTGGGAAGGCTCCCTTTGACAGGGAGGGAAGGAGGAAAGGGGAGGGCAGGCGCTATTGGGATCCACATCAGCTGCGTGGCTCCTGTTGACAAGGGGGAAGAGAGATCGCATGCTGTTTGGGGGGTGTGGGTATGTTATGTACTAAGCTTGGATCCTAGAACAATAGGCAGGTAGGATCCTAGAATGCAACAACTGATTGGCTTGCAGGAGAAGACCCATCAGGCTCCAGGAGGGAAGCAGAATCAGCCAATCAGATGGGACTCATTGTGTAAATAATGTATATAACGGCCTGAGGTTTTGTTTGTGTGTGTTTTTTTTTTTGGGGGGGGAATTCAATCACTGTTTTACAAGCAGCAATAAAGAGCACGAAATCACTGCAGGACTCCAAGTATATTTCAGGGTAGGAGAAGTTTCGCACAGGACAGCTCCACAGCCCAACTGGTTTGGGGGGGAGAGAGAGAGCTGCTGGGGGAGGGAGGGAGAGAGAGAGAGAAAGAAAGGGCTGGCTTGGGGGGGGGGGAGACAGCTAGGTGCCGGCCCACCCTGCACCCACCCCTGCCACCCACCCCTGCCTGCCCACCCTGCACCCATCCCTGGGTGGTAGATCACTCCCTGTTTTTGGTAATGGATCATAGAGCAGCAAGTTGCTGAATCCTGTTCTAAAGCACAGTGCACAGTACTGGTCTTTGGCACTGACATGATGTCCTCACCCTTCTGACAGCCCTCCCCACTCCCACAGGCAAATGGGTTCTGGTTGTGGAGGCATTTCCTAAAGGCCACTGGTAATGGGGGGGGGGCAGGACAAAGAAGATTTCATAGCCTGCCCAATGCTCTGCTTTGTGATGGCTCAGAGGTGTTGCTCAGGACAGAAACTTCCTACACTTCATTGTCCTGCCCCCTTTAAATCCCCTGCGCACATTCATATTTCCTTACTCGGCTTCAGGACGCTTTCATTCTGCCTGGCAGCTGAGAGACAGTAAGTAGAACTACCTTGCTCTGGTCCAAGAAGTTGGTAAGGGAAGAAAAGGGTTGCAACATGGCCAGAATTACAGAGGCCTGATCAGTAGCCAGTAACCAGTGGAGATCCAGTCAAGCATTCTTGTTAGTGGTATTTGGCCCTACTTTTTGTGAAAAGTGTACCCCGCTTTTCACAAAAGATTTCAGGGTATTTAACGATGCATTCCTTTGGAAGTGTTGCAAATCTATGGCAGCATCCCCCGACCTTGTGATCTCTAGATGTTCTGGACAACAATTCCCATCAGCTGGAACCAGCACCGTGTTTGCTGGCTGGGCATGATGGGAGTTGCAGTCCAGAGCATATGGAATTTACCAGGGTGGGGAAGGTTGGCCTAAGGGGCGCTGCAAGGCTATGCCCTTTCCATGTAAAAATTTGTAGATCAGTGTTGCAGGAGGTCCCAGGTATATCCTCCAGCATCTCCTAGTAGGGCTGGGAAGTCCCCTGTCTGAAACTTTGGAGAGTAGCTCTAGTGTAGACAGGACTAAACTAGATAACCAATGGCCTGACTTTGAATAAGGCAATTTCATGTGTTCCTAGAGCGAAGCCCCTGCTAAAGTGTGTATCTCTGATGTTTGAGGCACTTAGTCCAAGCTGAAGTAATCACACTTCTCTCCCGGGGGAAACACAAGGTTCAGGAAGATTTTGAGCAGAGGAGAGAGAACCACACTTTCTGGGGAATAAATTCTCAAGGCTTTTATTCTTCCATTCAGTTTTTGCAGCTCGATCTGGTGCAGTCCACCTGCCATGGATCTCTCTACCAGTGCTGTGGTCTTCTTGCTCCTCACCTGCCACCTCTGTGAGGCAGGAGATCGAAAGTATAATTCAGTCCTCATGGTGTCCAATGGCGGGCAGTGGGGAGAATGGGGAAAAATTGAATTCTGTCCCAAAGGACATGCATACGGATTCTCACTGAAGGTAAAGGCTTATCTATCTCTTCTTTTTGATACCCTGATCCCAATCGAGTAGTCACAATAATGTTATATAAAGTTGCTTCCCATCTTTCTTTCTGAACCCATTGCCTGTATATTGCTGCCTGCAAGGTGCTTTGAAGTGTTGACTGCCATGCTTAAAGATTTAATAGCTCTAAAAAGTCTCCCAGCCACTTTGTCAATCCACACTGGAGAGGCTTAGAGTGAATTGTATTTTACATTAAAGAAAACTGGATGGACTGGAGGAAAAAGGGACAAGGATACAGAAAAGTTTGGAGTGCAATGAGCTGGCAATATTGTGGTCAGTTTTATCTTCCTGAAAAGTGAGCACTCAACTGGAAAATACAGACTAAACTGTTAGTGTGGAAGCAACCCTGGTAAGTTCTGGTGCTTTCTAGGAGGGTTGCCATAAATCCAGATTTTCCCTGACATGTCCAGGATTTCAACAACTTTCCTCCAAAAAGCTCAACAACTTTTTGTGTTTGGATTCTTACTTCTTGAAATAATATGGCAACCCTAACTTCACAAACTAGAGGAAACCCGCTGTAGCACATGAAGACATAAGAGAGGGCTTGAGGATGCCTTAGGCAGCCATTAGCAAGATCATTTTTTTCCTATTAAGTTTGCTTACTTGGGGCCCATCGGACTGGTTGCATCAAAAAGCTACTGTCTTTTGATGCAGCTCAGAATGTAAATCTCAACCCACAACCAGTAATACTTGTACACAATTAGGGACATGTAATCATGAACAGATAACTGCTTATTCATGTTGCAAGCTAGTACTTTGGAAAGTTCAGACTGCAGACACAGTCTGAATGTGAGTGTTGTCCTAGTTTGGTTAACTACAATAGCAACCCCCCCCCCTTGTAAAACACACAATAGCTATTTTTCATTTTCTTTTCTACATGGGTACTATTGTTGGCTATTTGCAGTATGGTAGCGCTGCAGAGAGCTTGCTGGGGAGACCATGCATTAAAAAGGGACTCAAAAATAACTTAAACAAGGTTTTAATAAGGAAAACAAATACTCCATTTACACTAAATACATCAACAAACCAGACCCAACCACCAACCCATCCCCCAGGGAAATGGGAGAGTTAGGTGCTGCTCCTTACATACTACACCCAATTGCTGACACAGCTTAATCAATACAACTCAGCAGCACCTGCTATGTTTCACAGCTGTGAAGCTGGGTCTCGTTAGTTTGCTCTGGCCCCTTAAAGACATACACATCAGGTGGAAAAATGATGAACCTTTACATTTAAAGAAACCATTCAACATATGTCTTGTTTCTTGGTTTTTTGGGCCTGGTCTTACTCTGTGCACTTGTAATTTTGTACTTTTCATTTTTCAATAAAGAATATAAATCAGAGTCCTAGCTTGCAAAAACAGCTTTATTGCGGTCTCTTTCTCTCATTTGCACCAGACGAGGCAGGTTTCAGAAGGATTAGTAACTGATGATTCTTCCCTCAATGGCATCCGTCTCCATTGCAGTAGTGGTGGAGTTGTACAATCGACTGTCGGACCGTAAGCAGCTTCTTGATTTTTCTCTTTGTTGCTTGGAAAGTGATGATGTGATGGTCTGGCTGAAATCTATTATGTTTCAGCACCAGGGCAGGATAATGTCAGGGTCTATCAGCCTCATTCTTAGCTCTCTGAGTCTAACGATACCAACTCTAGGTTGCCTTCCAAATTTCAGAGGAACCCCAGCACAACATAACAAAGAGAAAAGAGGCTGCAACAACAGAGTACAACGGGAAGGAAAAGCAGTGCTTCTTCTTGAGGACCACACATGCCAAGAGAGTGGGGAACCTCAAGCCCAGGGGTCAAATGTGGTCCCCCAGGCTTCTCTGCCTGGTCCTCATGAATATCTGTGATTGTCAGGGGTCAGGACCTCAGGCAGGAAGGCGAGGCAGCCTGAGTATGAAAAGGCCAAGACCTACCTAACCAGTGGCTGTGGCTTCCTGAGAGAAAGTAGGCAGAATACTGAAGCTCTCCTTCCTGGCGGATGCACTGGCCTAAAAAGATCAATACCTCTACTCAACAGCTGTTTAGCAGAGACCTTGATCCTGTGGGGTGCAGGTGCTGCCTTGCCTGTGGCTTTCTTGCAGGAAAGTCGTTACCACTTAAGTGAGTGAATCCCATCCTGCATGGTGCTGGTCACTGGACTTTATGAAGAAGCAGCAGCACCACACAGAATCAGGTCGTTCTGCTTATCATCTGATAGGCAAGAGCAACAAATACTACATGGGACGAATGCACCCTGACCTTGTGTTGTGGGTGGCCCCTGGGTGGCACAGGGCAAATCCACCTACTCCAGGGGTCACAACACACAGCCCTACTTAGAAGTTGAGGTTTGGTAGACACACTATACCTGATGAGGTCTACAAAAGACGCCTTTTAAAAATCTAAGGAGGCAACTGCCCTCTTGACTTTCATGTTGGAAAGCAAATCATTCCAATTTGGGTTGTATTTCCAGAGAGGCAGACATTACCATATTGTCTCTTTTTTTTGCAGGTGTGGAGTGTGGTTTGAGGGTAAGAAATGCCCCAAGGGCTACCTGGTTGCCTTCACTCTGAATGTGGAAGCCCCACAAGGGCCAGCTGATGATACAGCAGCCAACAACATCCGGTTCACATGTGGAGATGGGACTGTACTGGAGGGCCAGTCCACTGAGTTCGGTACTTATGGCGACTGGAGCAAGCGCTGCCCCACTGGTGCCATCTGCGGGATCCAAACAAAGGTGGAGGGTATAACTTCAGTTGATGTCACTGGACTTAATGATGTCAAGTTCTTCTGCTGTGACTGAATCACCTGGGCTTCATCCTGCTACAACACAGCTGCCTGTGTTCTAATGGTTTGTTGGCATGAAACTTAACCAACAATAAATCTTAACCAACGAGTTGTGTGTATCGTTTGTAGCTTTGTCTCTTCCTGATCTCAATTCCTTAACCCTGCGTGACTTGGTTTTGGATCGGAGGACAATGCAATATGAAAGAAGGTTCCATTCTAGACCCGTGTGCTATATTTAGCCCATTGATCTTGCCAGGCCCAACAGCCTCTCAGTTTGTCCCATGAGGTTGCTTTGAACAAATTGCACCCACTTGCCAATCACCAGCCATCTTAGGCACAGAGATCTCTTATGTCTGATCTAAGCACCAGGCGGTAAGATTTGAGAATTTGAAGGAATCTGGGCACCAAGCATAGCAGCCAACTCCTGGGGGCCGAGCTCTGTTGTTGGGATGTGTCCAAGGAAACGGGGGCAATTGGCAGGCCCCCAGCTGGCTCCAGGCCATCAGCTGTCAGCTGGGTGATCTCCAGTCCTTGGATCAGCATGTAACTGCAACTCAAGCCTCAGAAACCTTCAGAAGGTTGAGCACGCAAGCCAGCAGAGAATAAAACTCTTCACAACAGAAGGGCAGAGAGAGGCTGTGTAAAGCATATTTAGAGTAGTTTATTTAGCATACATCAGGACTAAGAAAACATGTCTGCTCTCCTTCATGTCCAAAGCAAGAAGCATAAGCAAAACTACAGTGGTGCCTCGCAAGGGTTGCTCCCTTGAGCAATGGGACTTCCTTTCCTCCCTTTGCATCCCCTGCAGAACCTCAACAGGTGCTCCAAAGGGTTGGGGAACCGTCCAGAGCAGATTTTTAGGGGGGGATGAGGAGCTGGTAGAGGAAGAAAAGAAACGAAAAGTTCCATTGCACAAACAGATTTCCGATGTCCATGTGAATGGATCATTGTTTCATTATCCTCCATCTTTGTTTTTAAATCCCAAGCTTTGGTTCCAGAATGTCCATCCATGTATTCATATGCTCCTGTTTAGACATCAGTTGCAGAGAAATTTCTTCCTTCAAAGCATTCACTAAAGCTGTTGCAGCTCTTGCTTTGTTCCATTGGAGTGCTTTTCATCCCGAGTAGACACCATGTTTTACAGGTCTGCTTCCTTGTCCGGATGTGTCCCTAAGTGCCTTCCATTCAAACAAAAGTAGTGAGCAGTATTGCTTTCATTCGCTGAAGTGGTGCTTGCTGATTTTCCAAACCTAAAGGCACCAAGTGTGGTATATCTTGGCCCATTATTTTGGCTCATAGGGATAGTCATTGCTGTATCCGGATAGGAAGCGCTTGCCTCATGCCACCATCTCCCCACTCCTCATAAACATTTTTAAAGACTTTGCAGCTCTACATTGGCCTTTCTTCCACATGATTGTTTGTATCCTCCAACAGGACTTTGCAGGTCTCTAACAGACCTCACAATGTGGCTTCCTGTAAAATTCTGAAGGGTACTATGAAGCTGAGGGTGAACTTCAGCAGTTCTGGTATTCTGTAGACATATTTACTGTTCGGTAGATTTATTGCTTTATTGTTCGGCGCCCAGCCACGCTTCCCCTGGGAACCTCTGTAGCTTCTGTTTACGCAGTGTGGCTTTCGAGCGGTCGTAAAGCAATTAGCAGAATTTCACAGTGGCGTGTGTCAAAAGAGCAGTAAACAAGTCCCACACCTTTCTTCTGTCCTAATATCCCTTTATTTCCTCAAAAGTAGTGTGTTTACAATCAATAACAGCCATCAGATTCAAGCTGCATTTTCTCTGCATCCTTCTCTCTCAGTGCAGCAGCTGAACGGAGTGCTTTAGATTTCCACTCAGCTCACAGCATTCCAAGCTGCTTTTGTCACGTCCTGGCGTACTTCCCTTGTACGCGCCTCCTCTCAGGCTTGAGACACAGAAGGTTAACCCTTCACTACACCCAACATTTACACTACAAAGTTGTATCAGATTTCTACCAAGTGAACTGTCATGGCTTCACCTGAATGGTTTTTTGAACAGCAGATTGATAAGGGAATTGTAACTCTCTCTTTGAGAAAGCTAAAATACACACACAGTGGAGCTACAGTCATCAAGGTACAAGACACCTTCTTTTCCCTCTCTCTGACACCCTCTTCTTTATGCGTTACCCTCCCCCCCCATTTCCTCCATGCCTAGTGGTTTCCCATGAGAAGGAAACATCACTTTTGCTGGAAGTCTGTGTTAGGATATTTCCATTCCACCTTAAGAAGGGAGCAGGTTGTTGTGTCACAGCCTGCGTATTTCCTGTTCACAGGAAGTTTATGTTTTGTACATTGCTTTCGGTTTCTCTCTCTGCGCCTGAACAGCGAAGCAGGCAGTCATGTTTTTTCTTTGTTCTGACCATCGCTGAATAAAGTTGTAAATAATGCTCTCCTGGGTGCACCTTTCGTTGTACGAACTCTGCTGATAGAGCGTGCACTAGTCCTTGGAATGTGGCAAGCTATTTCTGAGGCTTTGTGTCGCTAATTGACTGATACTGCATTTCTATCAGAAATCGATGGATCGTCCGGAGACGGCTTGGGGGCATGGAGATGGCCTTTGTCTCCCTGGCAGTATCCCAACAGTCTGAACTCCTGGCTTGAGGACTTGTGGCAATTAGGCTGAGGACCCGCATGTGGCTGAAGAGTGACAGTTTGCCCAACCCTGTCCTAAAGCCAATTGTACGGTCCTGGTCTTTGGTCTGGAAATGATGTCCTCACCCTTCCGATAGCTCTCTCCCCTCCTCCTGGCAAATGGCTTCTGCTTGTGCAGGAACTTCCTAAAAGCCACTGGTAATGGGGGTGAGGAAAGCACAGGACCAGAAGACTTCATAGTCCTCTCCGCCTGCTCTGCTCCATGATGGATCAGTGGAGCATGGGAGGTGTTGCTCAGGACAGAGAGTTCCTACATTTCACTGTCCTGAACCCTTTAAATTCCCTGCTCACGTCCATGTTTCCTTACTCAGTTTATGGACTCTTTCTTTCTGCCCGCAGAGTAATTGTCAGCTGAGAGACGGTAAGCAGAACTCCAAGTGAGGCCAAAGAAAGGTAAGGGTTGCAATGTAGCCAGAATGATGTAGGCCTGGTCAACTGTCAGACTGGAGTGAAGTAGAGCTGGGTGGGGGATTCAGCCAAGTATTCTTGCTCTTGGCATTAGGCCCTATTGTGAAAAGTGTACCCCACCTTTTGCACAAGTTTTCAGGGTATTTAAATGTGCATTTCTTTTGAAGGGTTGCAAGTCTATAAAACAGAAATGGAGGGAGTTTGCATAGGAGAGACATGTTAGCAAGGGGAAAGGGTGGGTAAGAAATGCACATCTTAGTTAGTTTTTTAAAATAATATTTTTATTACTTTTCAATTACAATCCAATAATAACCTCTGCTTCTTAATGGCGGCATTGGAGGGTTTTCAGCAGGCAAAGTGCTTTTGCACTCAGCATCTCCCTGGCAAGAGCCTCGGTAAAGAGACGAACTGTGAGTGAAGCCTATTTCTCCCTGTCCCTGGGGGGAATTTGCAAGGATAATTACCCTCAATCATCTTTGTTTTTCCTTCGCCAACCGTCTTCTGCTATCGTGGGGTCTGCCTCCATTAAGGCAGAACAGAACCGGAAGCTGCACATTTTAATTAGTTAGCTTACATCAGCGGTTACCAATGTGGCACAATTCCTGCCATCCTGCCTTGCCTTTCTGTTTGAGGAATTGATCTAGCCCCAATGTCCAGCAACTCTGAGTTGTCTATTGAAATCAGAAGTATAGTCAGAAAAGCCATTAATTGGTTTTACTCATCAACCAGAAGTAATCACACTTCCCTCCAGGGGGAAACACAAGATTCAGGAACCTTTTGAACAGAGGAGAGAGAACCACACTTTCTGGGGAATAAATTCCACTCAGTTTTTGCAGCTTGATCTGGTGCAGTCCACCTGTCATGGATCTCTCTACCAGTGCTGTGGTCTTCTTGCTCCTCACCTACCACCTCTGTGAGGCAGGAGATCGAAAGTATAATTCAGTCCTCATTGTGGCCCATGGCGGGGAGTGGGGAGAATGGGGAAAAATTGAATTCTGTCCCGAAGGACATGCATACGGATTCTCACTGAAGGTAAAGGTAAAGGCTTATCTATATCTTCTTTTTGATACTCCGATCCCAAGGAATAGTCACAATAATGTAATATATATATATTTTAAGTTGCTTTCCATCTTTCTTTCTGCCTGCAAGGTGCTTTGAAGTGTTGACTGCCATGCTTAAAGATTTAATAGCTCTAAAAAGTCTCCCAGCCACTTTGTCAATCCACACTGGAGAGGCTTAGAGTGAATTGCATTTTACATAAAAGAAAACTGGATGGACTGGAGGAAAAAGGGACAAGGATACAGAAAAGTTTGGAGTGCAATGAGCTGGCAATATTGTGGTCAGTTTTATCTTCCTGAAAAGTGAGCACCCAACTGGAAAATACAGACTAAACGGTTAGTGTGGAAGCAACCCTGGTAAGTTCTGGTGCTTTCTAGAAGGGTTGCCATAAATCCAGATTTTCCCTGACATGTCCAGGATTTCAACAACTTTCCTCCAAAAAGCTCAACAACTTTTTGTGTTTGGATTCTTACTTCTTGAAATAATATGGCAACCCTAACTTCACAAACTAGAGGAAACCCGCTGTAACAACTTTTTGTGTTTGGATTCTTACTTCTTGAAATAATATGGCAACCCTAACTTCACAAACTAGAGGAAACCCGCTGTAGCACATGAAGACATAAGAGAGGGCTTGAGGATGCCTTAGGCAGCCATTAGCAAGATCATTTTTTTCCTATTAAGTATGCTTACTTGGGGCCCATCGGACTGGTTGCATCAAAAAGCTACTGTCTTTTGATGCAGCTCAGAATGTAAATCTCAATCCACAACCAGTAATACTTGTACACAATTAGGGACATGTAATCATGAACAGATAACTGCTTATTCAGGTTGCAAGCTAGTACTTTGGAAAGTTCAGACTGCAGACACAGTCTGAATGTGAGTGTTGTCAGAGTCCTAGTTTGGTTTACTACAAT